GGAAGGGAATTCAGATGATCTTACAGTGTGGAGCCCAGGGAAGAAGTGCTGGAAGGACGTCAGAGACAAAGCCATAGGGTTCGTATTCATGGTGAGCATGGCACAGGTCAATCAAATGAAGATGAAAAAGGCTGATGAAAGGCTTCGAGCCGTCTGCAAGTTCGACAAGTCTCATAAATGGAGAAGAAAGGGGGCAAAGACTGCCTGTAGCACACAAGAAGTTGCTCTGAAACATCCGTGGTATATAGCATGACTTGTTCTGGTAACCTCCAGAATTGAGCCCTGCAAGCTCAATGGGTGCCACAGCTGCAAGCGTGTGGCAAAGAAAGGTCATTCCCGCTGAGCAGCTGCAAAGACTAACCACGGAGGGAATCAATGCTCCTGCTCCTCCTTCTCTTGCGTGCGATCTGCGAACACCCCTCAATTTGCCAAGCGAGTTCTTGTTGAGCACAGGGGTAATATTGCTCGAATATGTGTTTATTCAAGCATCACCCACAGCAGCTCTTTTTATGATACCCTCTCTTCGCTTGCTCTCTCGCACTGCCGTAGGCATATCGGAGGGGTCTGAAGTGAACCTGCAGAAATGAAGTCTGTAAAGAAATAGGCAAATATTGATATACATATAATATATCGGCGTCTCAAGCCGGCGCATCAAAGTGCATCACGACAACTACAACAGATCTTCAGGCATCAGTAATTGTCTGATGTTTGCAAGTTCAAGTCTGTAAACGAGCTTGGAGAGGCGTTGTAAAATTGGACTTTGTGAGGGAGAGGGCATCTGGTTTTGCACCAAAGGAAGTCTAACCAACACCACCTGCCAGTGGAATTGGCGATGCGGTTTTCAATCTCCAGGCTCAAGTTAGCATCAAAAGTGAGAGTTCCGCGAAGCTACTTGAGAACCATTGTGCAGTTTCTGTCGGTCGCTAAAGTAAATGGGTGTCTTTTCCATTCATACTAACCACGTGACATGTCTTCTCTCTTTATCAGTTTTACACAAGCCGTTAGACGCTGATTCAGCTTCTGTGGAGGCGCTTCTGTGGCGCGAAAAGATCTTTGTTCGCCATTAGCGTGTCATTGGCACGAGCACATCACAGAAACTCAAGAAGTCCACAAACTCTAGCGACAAGGAATTGTGCTCACAGTAGATGTCAAAGCGAATATAACTTGCATAATTGAATCAATCTGAACAGGCACCAGCTAAGTGGGTACCTTGACGGATCCCAGCTCTTCGCCAATTAGTGCTGGATTGCATGCCATCAAAGGAAATGTTAACATGTCATTTATGAACCATGAGACAATAATAATGAGCTTTTTGGCCTGCCAGGATTTTGCAATACTACTTATAAATTGCGCCAACATCCAGACCCCAAAACTAATTGTAAAAACACCTTTCAGAATGCCTTGTTCTTCTCCTTATTATTTCTTATTTGTTATGTTTTATTTCTTATTTCTTATTTCTTCTTCTTCTTCTTCCTTCTCTATCTTCTTTTGTGAGCTCTCTTTTTTTACCTTTGACCATCAAATGTCCAAAAACATTGGCTAGCCAAAGGCTTAAGGTTTCCTTATTGGAACCCTATCAAACATTATCTTCAAAGGGTATCCCTTTAGACTCCCACCCCCTGCAATTATGAACAAACCTACAATAATCACCCCCCTGCAGCCCTGCTGGATTATCCCTTGCCTTGTGCTTTCCCTTTTACGTTTAACTTCATCTATCTTCGTCTTCCTTCTTTTTGTGAAATCTTTATGTTTAATCTTTGCCCATCAAATTTCCAAAAAACATTGGCTAGCCAAAAACATTGGCTAGCCAAAAGCTTTTTTTGTTTCCTTATGAAACCCTATCAAACAAATACAAACAATTTTCTTCAAAGGGTACCCCTCTAGACTCCTAGCCAAAAGTTTTTGGTTTCCTTATTAAACCCTATCAAACAAATACAAATTATCTTCAAAGGGTACTCCTTTAGACTCCCACCCGCTGCAATTATAAACAAACCGACAAACCTACAATAATCAATGGCTTGCAAAAGCTTGGGTGTAATGTTCAGTGAAATGAGGGCCTCCTGCATTCTACAAGTTGATCCGACTTGAGGGATGCATTCATGAACGTGCAACAAACCACACGACTTCAAGTTGTACAGGACAGGACACGGAGAAGGCCCCTTCATTCATGCCCTCATATCAAATTACTCGAACGGGAGGGCTCTGAGCTCCGCACAGATAAACCCATGTCTGATGCTGGTGCCACTGGCCGATACACCATGCCGATGGCCTGTGCTACCACTCTCACGTTGCAAGGCAACACAAGGCAACCCCCAAGAACATCGAGGACTGGCAAGCTACAACACCAATCAAGCGTTCGACTGATTTGACTTCTTAAACATTAGTTTGAGCAATGAAGGTAAAACACACCCGGGCAGTTGAGGTAGTTGATGGATGTGGATGGTAGTCAGTTGCAAGTGCAAAATGTGACCCATGCCCCTGCCTCTCGTGCCACTTTCAATGGCTCAGTCGGCTGATGCTCGCCACTTGAACCATATTCAAGAAATATATTGCAGTAACTATTGCAGCATATACACAAACACGCAACAAGCGCAAGCTTGAGACATGCACTCATTTCATGCATCTAGGATAGGGGTGACAGGGAAGGCCACTCCCCTTCGGCGAGAATATGCAAGAATGAGGTACAGGACAGGATGCAGTTGTTTTCTGCGGCAAACACCTGTCCAAAACTAAACTGCACTGGTTGGTTGGCTTGGCATGCTTGGCTGAGTTTACTTTCTCCACTGGTGCAAACAATGCGCGCAACTCACAGCACTCCTCCAACCTCCCTGTACGAGACTGACGTCTGTCTGCCAGCGTGCCTCAAGGAAAGCATTAACATGTTGCAATTTATTCAGTTGGGTGCCATCAATGGTCTCAGCAAGACTCAGGAGTCCTGACAGAAGCGCATTTCAGCAGTTCATTGCCATAATGTCATTGCCTCGGACTAACTTGACTTGGCCTTCCTAGGGGTCGGGGACAGTCCGTGAAAGCCCTGGCTTCAGCAAAGTGCTTCATTTCTGGGTGCGTCTCATTAAGAGAAGCTGTTGGTCGCTTTGTTTGGCTTGAATGCCTGTCCGTGCGCTGTTCGCATGGACAACAGCTCCAAGAACTTCCTCATTTTACTGATACACCGCTGACACAGCAGAAGGGAAGCTCTTTGCCTAAAATGAATGTGCTGCTCTAAAGGTTGTTTGAAGTGCCCTTGTCATAAAGCCATCTAGCGAACGCAAGCAAACAGCTTCACCATCTGCACACTGTCCATTGCAAACAGTTTGCTGCAAACATATTCCTTCTACTGGCGCTCCGGTTGGAAAAGAGCGAGAAGAATTACAGCCAACAAACTATCACTGTGATATCATCGACCACATTCCTAAGTGCCACAAATGCGGCGAGAACGGTGGAAATTACCTCCACAACTACAGCACCATTGCCAATCTTTTCACAAGGTTCCCCTCTTCTTGTATCCAGCGCTTCCATGCCTCCTTTGCCAAGGCCTCTCACAAGTAAAAACCTTTGCACTATAATATATATATATATATAATGGTGCTGGTTTTCGTTGGACCAAAAAAAACACTTGAGACATCAACAAGAAAACCAAATTCTGATGAAACACATTGAACATGGATGAACATGGACTTTTTTCTCGAGCCTCAGCCGCTTCTTGGGCCTTGGCTTTGCCAAATGGGGCCACCAAGTCCACGGCCTCCTGCATTTCAAAGAACTCCCAAACCTCAATGACCGGGGATGACAACGACAATACACTCCCTGAAACAAGTACAGTAATAGAACTGGGACATGGCCCGTTGGATTACCATTTTCCTCTACAAACAGGTGGTTTTCCAATTCCATGTTAGTTTTCCTCGGAGTAATAAGTGGTTTCATGATTGGTACATGAGCATCATCCAGTTCATCTGCGGCTTGCCATCCACCTGAGGATCCAACCTTGAGCCTATCCTATCATAATTAACGGTGAACATGGCGCCACTTGGATACACCAAAATCTGCTCAAAAAGGAACATTGCCCTTCATATCCTTTCATTCTGGGGTCGTTCGTTCTTATTTGCGGGACCCTCCATCCATATTTTCGGACAGCTTCTACATCATACAGTAGTCAGCCACGTTCAAGAAAGCAAACCCAATCCAGCTGCCGAGCAGCCCCATCTGAGCAAATCAGCATAAACAACTCCTTCTCCCTGGCAAAGGGCAAACGACAATCACGAAATGTGGCATTCCAATCCATCCCATCAGCCCGTCAGGAACCTGCCTGAATTCGATCCGTCTGACATCAGCATCGGAAATGACCCCACAGCTGGTGCCAATCGTGTCGCCCAAGGATCTTGAGTTGATCAAACCTGCAACTTCGACCCAAGAGACAAGAAAGAAGTGAACGTCTTCAAATCCCAGTGGACGACTTCCAAAGATGTAAACGGTATCTATACGCACTTTTTTTCTCAGTGGAATGCATGTTGCGTCATTCATGTGAGAACCTCAACAAGAAAGCTATACACAAGATTAAACAAGTCTCAGTCTGAATCTCTGAGAAGTGCCTGGGTATAATTGGTTCTTCAAAAACAGCCTTTGTGGAAGGTCTCCGTCAAGGCGTTTCCTCGGAGAAGCGTAGGAAAAAACGAGATACTTTTGGGCCCCTAGCTGGCCATGGCAGAATCCGGCACAAAAGTTAAACAGTCATGGCGGTCATGAAGTGATATGTATGATAAAACATGATAAAACAGTCCCCAAACAAAAACAGAGTTCAAGCGGTCAACCACACTAATTTGATTTTGGGTGAGCGGGTGAGAGTGTCATTGGACTTGTGTTCGGACCAGCTTTTGCAGCTGAGAATCACTTCTCCTCCGCTTTCTTCCACTCTCTGCCTTGATTGGGCGACATCTTGTAGCAAAGGGTGGGACACAAGTGTCATTCTGTATAGAACTGCTTGGAGGCTTGCTGTTTTCAAGCTATAGGCGCAAATCGGGCGGTGCCAGTTTTGCATCTGGGTCTCCCCACTTCTCTTCATCATCAGAGAGCCGATGAACACGTGTAAGCTGCTCCCAAGTAAAAACCTTTCCAGCCACAGCCTTCCTTGCCAGAATCCCTGTCGAGTCTCCAACGTTGGCAATGTACCTCAATATTTATGAGTCGAAACGAGCGCTTTGCTATTCCAACGGCTACTGTGTCACAGAGCTTTTTGCCACACGGATACTCTCACACACCCTCTCCTGTCTGTCTCACTCAGGCAAGGTTGCTGCTTCGTATCAGGTATACAATAGAATCATAATCATAGTATCCAAACATTACTAATTACCCTGGGGAAAGGCAGCCGCGTTCTTCCGAGCTGCACCACATTCTTCCGCACAAAAGCCATGGTTGCTGTAGTGCCGCTCAAAGAACAATCGAAACCGCGCTCTTCCTGGCTTTCCAAGCCTGGGTCACGCCACGAATTCGCCCTTCAAGTCCAGTCGTAAATAGATACCCTCACAAATCATGACGCAGTTCGAGCCAGTGGGAACATGCTTGCAGCATCTTGCAGCATTTGCATTGTCCTGTCTGCAATAAGCCTGCAAAACAAGCTGCATCTTTTCTGCGTTGCGGCAAAGGCGTCCTTGAGTGCCTTTTCCACGTCATTTTGCTTGAAGTGCTGAGATTGAAGAAATTCTCGGGGAAGAATCTCTTGGACGTAGTTCGCTAAGTGATGGCCGTAGGGGCCATGCCCATCGAAAACGCCCACCTCAAAACAATTCAAGTGTTCCAGGCTCCTTGCTGGTCGATTTCCGGCACAAGTTCTTGGTGTTTGTATCAATCATTGACATGCTTCTGCATCTAAGGTGCTAAAGTAGCAAACTTTGTGTGAAAAAATGCAGAAATCATCCTGGCTGGGGCTTTCAGGCTTCAAGCCTTTCCTGCATACATATCCTGAGCACTGCCAACTGCAAAGGTTTCAGGATGATGATCACTATATATCACTATATATTCTTCACACAAGTTATTCGTCAGATTTCTTCGGCCACGGTGCCCACGGCGGCTCGTTTCAATATGCCCGGTACGCCCTCCGTAGTGGCCTTCTTGGGTGCAAAGCCGTCCTCATGCTTTGCTCACAGGCACAAAAAGTGCAACAACCTCACTATCATGGTGCACCAAGTGTGTCGAAAATCGTCTGACCCATAGAGCATTTGTTGAGATCCCAATTTGCAAGTGCACCATGACACGGGTCAAATGCCGACTCACATTCTGCTGAAACTCAAGGAAGCGCAACAACATGGTGAGGATAATACATCTCTATAAACCAAACTGAAACTGCAAAAAATCAGCGGAGTTAAACTGAAACTGCTTTGAAACTCCAGCTGACATATGACACTCCTGCTGGTCATCCTGCTCCGTCACGACACCTCGAACTGCAACCTTGGGTGCATTCTTCTCGCACGGAAGAAGCCTGAGCAAGGCGGCCCAAAGAAATTCTCTACCCTTAACAAACCTTTCCGTTCCTCAAACTTGATGAGTTACTAGTAGTTTCTTGCTAGTAATGCCAGGAGCTACTAATAGCCTCTGGCTCCTAGTAGCGGTGCCCTTTGCTACTAGTACGCCCCACATGTCATCACAACCCAGCTTCTTTAAGATCTTTAAAAATTTTCAGGGAGCAGATCATCGCACTTGCTCTCCGGCTTTGACTGACGGCAAGTTGCTCCAGTGTGGCATTGGGATCACCTTGGATGTGGAGAATCCAGAATGGTACTCGTAGCCTTTAGTGTGTGGCCGCCTATCTTTTGCATCTTGGGCACACATCCAAACATTCCTCCACGCTGGTACATGCTTCATGCCACCCCTAGCCCATCTTTCCAGCCCTACTCACGCCAAGCAACCTTTCTTGGGTTTCCCAAAAAGGCAGCCCATGGCTGGCCATCAGTACCGAGCTGCGCTCAGAAATGCCAAATGGATTCTTGTTGTATTGCCTATGTTTTCCAATGTCAACCTCCGCATATAGCCGACAATGACTCCTTCTCGAGCTATGGCCTTGTTCTGTGCTCTTTGGTGCCCACCTTTCAAAAGGACTGAAGCTGTGCGCCTGGAGAACGAAACCGGCAAGGATCTCCGGGCCTTTGTTGGACCTTCCTCTGCCAAAACGTTCAGCCAAGTGGCCACTGCCAAACTGCAACAAAAAGGTTGCCCAATCTCTTATTTTGTCCGGTGGTGGTAGTATCTCACATGTGTCTCAATTAATATGTTGCATATGTCTTAATTAATATAACTATATATATATATACATCTATGTACAGTATGTGTGTGTGTGTGTCACCGCCTGTGTCCAAGGCTCGTGACAGTTGCAGGGGGACGGGTCACCGGTGATACTGCCCGTCCAACGAAGAGGCTATCAGTTGGTGCTGAAGCGGTGGAGGGCACTCCACTGTGTACCTGCGAGTTTTAACAGTTGAGCAAGCCGTTTTCACCCCACTCTTCCGTAAAGGGCTAACGTGTGATGTTCAAACAATTCAGTTTTGCCGACCCAGCATGTTTCGGTTATGCAAGTCAAGGTCTAATGCACCGGTAACGTACTCACTAAAGTGGAAGATCGAAACCGATTTAGCTCTTGCAAGCATCAATCTAAGTGTGTCCGCCACAGAGTCCCACTGCGGGCTGTGGTGTGATCCCCAGCGAGGGGCGCAGCATGTGCACATGCCCTTAAGGGTGCCCCTTCCTGATTCTTCCTTTTGCACGTGATTGTCCATCATGAACCTTACAGGCTCCATCGTTTTGCTCGAAAGTGCCGATTCTACGCTGAGGTCATATGCCGCAGGGCTTACTGAGATCAAAGTGCTGCTAGGTAGTCATAGGCCACGCTGCTAAGTAGTCACATGTCATGCTGCTAAGTATAGTCACTTTATGGTTCTTTTGTTCCTGCTGTTGCTCTTCGTTTTCTAGGTTTTTTACTTTTTCTAGAGGCTTTTTAGGTCTAATTCAGGCCTTTTAGTCAAGGGAGCGCCGACTACGGCTTTTCGTCACGCCTTCGGGCAAGGACCCCCCAACCCCCCCCCCACCCCTCGCACCTTTCGTTCCTTGCCTTTTTCGTTTGCTTGGACTTTCCTTCAGGCTTGTCAGGTTGGCGTTTGGGCTCGTTTAGTCAACGCACGCCCTTCCCACACACCCCGCACCCCTTGCACCTTTCTTTTCTTTCCTTGCCTTTTTCGTTTGCTTTGTTCTTTCCTTCAGGCTTGTTAGGTTGACATCCAGGCTCGTTTAGTCAATGCGCTCCCACACTTCCCCCCCCCCGGACAAAAAGCCGAGCGCCGATCTCCGGCTCTGTGTGTGTGT